GGTAAATAGAACCCTCACACAAGCTGCGCCGTGTTGCAATCAGGCTTCCGTTTGAAAAATAATGTCGGAGTCCTTGTAATGTCCCTAGTCCTTACTCCACCTCCAAAATAAAGCCTCAGACCTGCACCCAAGCCTAGTCCCAGACTCTTGTTCTCATGGATACGGTAGCAGTTTGCGGGGACTCTGCTGTAACAAAGTTAAGACTGGGCAGCCTGAACAATAGGAATTTATGTTCTCGCAGTTCTGGAGGCTGGAAGTCCAAGATCGAGGTGTTGGCAGGGCTGGTTCCTTCTGAGGGCTGTGAGGGAAGGATCTGTTCCAGGTGTCTCTCCTTGGCTGGTAGATGGCCATCTTCTTCCCATGTCTCTTCTTATCACCTTCCTTCTATGTCTGTCTCTGGGCCCACATTTGCCACCAGTTGCACTGGATTAGGGCTCATCCTAATGGCATCATTTTCACTTGATTACCTCTGTCAAGACTCAATCTCCAAATGAAGTCGTATTCTGAAGCACTGGAGGTTAGGACTTCGACATATGAATTCTGGGGGGTGAGGGGGTGGGGCTGGCTCTGGAGACACAATTCAACCCATAAGAGAAACCGAAGCTAAGACAGAGGTCCTGCACGTGGGTCTCAGAGCTGGATCTTCAGGGTGGGATGTGCAACCCAATCCCCCACCAGACAGCAACAGGGACCCTGGGATAATCCCTGACATGCTGCAGCCTCACCATACCTGTGCACTGGGACGGGCTGCAGATGAAGCATTGGACACACAACAGCTCTAGCCCTGAATAGAGAGTCGGCTCAGTGTAAAAGCCTGAATAAAGGCAACGGCAGCCCCAGGTCAGCCCACTATCCGCTCAGGCCATGCTGTGAAAGCCAGAAGGCCTCTTCTAGGTTTTGTTTTGGGGTTTTTTTTGCGGTATGCGGGCCTCTCACTGCTGTGGTCTCTCCCGTTGCGGGTCACAGGCTCCGGACGCGCAGGCTCAGTGGCCATGGCTCACGGACCCAGCCGCTCCGCGGCATGTGGGATCTTCCCGGACCGGGGCACGAACCCGTGTCCCCTGCATCGGCAGGCGGACTCTCAACCACTGTGCCACCAGGGAAGCCCTCTTCCAGGTTTCTTTTTGTTTTGGAAAGTAGAGTTACTTTCCATGTATGTATATCAATCATATATATTTTTTGTACTTTATTTATGAGTGTTTAAAGAGCCCCTGACCTCCTGCAGCCACGGGGCATATCCTGCTGGCCATGGGGCCTGATAGTTAGTTGTAAGAGAGAAAGAGCTGCAAAGGAGACTGAACACACTGCCTCATGGGCCTCTTACGCTAAGTTGAGGGCCAACAGGGAAGAGGCAGAACTCGAAGCCCTGGGATGAAAACATTAGGGATAAAGGGTCCAAGAAACTTGACCACCAGAATCCCCTGACCTCTCTGGCTGGCATCGGAAGACGGCTGACTACCTGGTGACCAAGTAAGGGCTTCACCTGAGGCAGATACTCCTCAAGATCGCACGTTTCCTTCTCAATTCACCTTCGCCTCCCCCTCCTTTTCCCAGCATTGACCAGGCAGGGGAGCACACTCCTTACCCAGGAGGAACTAACTTACCCACCGGAAGACTTGCAAGACCCACAGACACACAGGAACAGGAGTGTCAAGAACACGTGTGGGGCTGGATTTGAGGGTTTGCGACTTTGAGGGGAAAATTAACCAGACAGGGAGAATGTATGGACATGAGAGCATCTCCACGTCTCAGGATTTGGCAAGCTGACAAGGACACCTGGCGCCAGCCCCATGTACTGCCAAGATGGCTCTGGGGGGCCTGGGAGGTCTGGAGGGCTCACCCGCAGGGCTGCAGCTCTTTTCTCGGCACAGCTGTGACACCATCACAAGCAATGATCAGATGCCCAAGAGCTTTTTTTTAAAATCATCTTTAATGTAGTTTTAATATTTTTTTGCCTCATTTACCAGATAAATCATCTAAATAAATAGATGTTATACAGTCTCTTACCAATATCAGTACAAAAATAAAACCACGCTCTGCATCTGCTCTAGCTCTCCCCGCACACACTCACTCTGAAACGGCGTGTGCTTGGAATTGACTCGCGCCCCCAACCCCTCCCAAATACATTCATTTAGTCTGAACAAAGCTCGACGCTCATTCTGTGCAAAGGAAGCGTTCTTGTGCTGAGACCCGGAGGCCAGGCTGGCCAGTTACAAAGCAAAAGCAAAACCACCTGACAAGCCAAGCGCCCTCCCCCAGGGCAGGAGCCAGGGGGAAGCTGGTGGAGGGACCACCATCCTAAGAGCGGCGGTGATTCCCGAGTGGCCCGCAGCATTACCAGGGGCCGCGCCACGGGCGGAGAATATGCCCCTCGCCCCACCCCACACCAAAAGAAAAGTACCAACCGGTCTCTCTACATTCAAAACAGGTAGGGCTGGGGGAAGGAAAGGCAGGTGGTCCAACCTTTTCAACGTCCACCCCCAAGTGAGTACTGGCCTTCTCGGGTGGCAGTGGGGTGGGAGGTCGTGCCCGCCTTGCCCCCTCTCACCCCAAGGCCCTCTGGGACGCTCAGGGCTGGAGGAATCCTGCAAGGCCACTTCCAGCCCCTCACAGAGGTCACCGTCCTGGGTCCTGGGCAGGAAGGTCCTAACAGCCTGCAGCCCTTCCCCCAGGGAGCCTCTGCTCCCAGGTCCGGCCCTCCAGAGAGCAGGGCACCCTGCGGGCTGTGAAGGGCTGAGAGAGAGGCTAGAAGTGCTCCTCTGCGGCAGCTGCCTCATCCCCCAAGAGAGGCCCCAGACCTGCAAACTACACAAACAGCTCTTCAAAGTGAGGCAGGAGGAGACCACATGTCACCTGGGGGCTGGGGAGTGTGACTTCCCTTGGAAGCTGCCAGCCGAGTCCCAAGCCAGGGCCCACAGCTTTCTGTCAGCGCGACACCCCTGCCCACCACCCTCCCCTCTGCCGGGAGCCCCTGATCTGGGACAGCTTCCCACTCAGGCTGCCTTTCCCCTCCCCAGGGTCCCGTAGCTGGGGAGGTTCCCCGCTGCCCCTCCTTTCCCTGGTTCACCCCCAGACTCCCCTAGACACAACCCCCTAGCCTGGGGGTGAATCAAGTCATGGGGTTGGGGGGAGGAAGCCATCCCCCAATGGAAGCACTGAATTGACCCTGGACAACGAAGGATTAAGGAGGAAGGGGAGACAGACACTCAGGGATCTGGGATCTTGCCAGCAAGGCACCCCAAACAAAAATGGGGTGCACGCTGTCTTTGGTTTGGGAACTTGGGAAGAAGGGGTCTGGGGGAAGAACTGCCCTAGTCGAGCCTCAGCAGGATTCTGTCCACTTCCTCAGGACAAAGCAGAGCATGGAGACAGCCCTGGGGGAGGGACCTGAGTACCTGGTCTGACAATGGGGAGAGGCGAGGGGGCCAGCCTTTCACTTGCTCCCCTGGTGCCCACCCCCAATCTGGCTTTTTCTCCCCTGCAGGACCAGGATAGGGGAGAAGTCACTCCTTACTGCCAGGGGAGCCACTAGTCCACAGGGCACGTCTGTGCAAACCAGAAACAGAGCGCCTCTCTTCTGGCAGACACAGGCCCCTGCCAGGGTGGGGGGCTCGTGCACAGCCTGACCCATCACCCACTACAGCCCAACCACAGGAAGACATGGCAGAGGTCCCGCCGCAGAGAAACAAGGTTAGTCCCAGCTGCAGCACTGAGGGTGGATGGGGGGGAGACCCAGAATGGAAGGAGGAAGGGTGTCAGGAGTCGAGGGCTGCCCTGAGAAGGTGGTGGGACGCTTCCTCCCTCCCTGACCACCCACGCCCATGTCTGGTTGGCTGAGTTGAAGGGGAGGGCAGAAAAGGAGGGGAGACAGAAGGGCTGGAAAGTCACCTGAGTCAGAGAGAACAGGAGCCCCGGGGGTGGGGGGACAGGGCACAAGTGCCTCAGAGCTCGCGTCGGTGCACAGCACACATGCACACGCTTGCACGCCTATGGCTGCCCAGGTGACACCACAAGACTTCACCCGCACGCCTGGAGCGTCGGAGGCCATCCGGCTGCCCCCTGGCTGGAGCCTTGCCCTCCACTGACAGCTATCCACGCTGACTCGGATAGGTCCTGTCAGGCGAAGTGCTGTGCAAGGTGGGATGAGCGGGGCTGCCTACAGCAAGCTCTTCTGTGCTGTGAATCCCCCCCCCCCCCCCACCGCCCCGTCCACCTGGTCAGGAGGCTTGCAAGACCCACTGCACACGTCTGCGGACCGGCGCATGCAGTCACGAGGGCGCGAGGGGCAGTGTGCACACACCTGCGGGGCTGGGTGTGCAAGTGAGCGGTTTGCACAGGCCAGGTGATGGAGCTGGGGCAGGTAGCTCTCAGCGGAAGGGGCTTAGCTGGCAGCTGCCCCCAGGGGAAAGGAGAGACCTTTCTGAAGGGGTGGGACGTGCCCAGCAATCTCAAACCCTTCCCAGCCCCTTAGCTCTGTGACCCAATCACTTTTGGTCAAAGCCAACCTCCATATCCCCACGCAAAGCTGGAGTGGAAAGTTAAAAATAAAGACCCCTCCCCAAACACACACACACACACACAAAAAGGCAAAGGGGAAACCAACCAGAAAGGCTGGGGTGGGCTGCTTAAGGGGCGGGTTCAGGCCTTCCCATCCTCCTTTAGTCCTGGGGACCAGCTGCTTTCTCTCTAAAGAAGAATGGTGATGGAGGTGTCCGGGGGAGTCTGGTCCTGTCCCCATCCTACCCTGGAGACGGTACCCCAAGTGACAGAGCAGTGCCAGGCCTCCCCAGGCCCAGCCCTGACACAGACCCAAGGCTGCCCTGTAAACGTCCGCACAGAGAAAGGGGCGGGGCGGTGGGAGAGTGTTGGGATCTTCCCCCCTTCTCCTCGTCAATGTTTCTTTAAATAAAATAATTACCCACCCCAAGCCCTCCCCATTTCTGGAAGTCCCCACCCCAAGCCCAAAAGATAACAGTTGAAGAATAGTAAAAATGGTGATTTCAGAACTTCCCGCTGCGGTCTCGGAAGAAGCCCTCAGCGGCCTGGGCCTCGCGGAAGGTGACGGTGATGGAGTTGGCGGTGATATCGGTCACTGTCACTTCACTTGAGGGGAGCGTGGGTGTCCAGGAGGGGGGCCCCTCGGCCAGATCTGCATCTGCTGCAGCCACGGGACAAAGACACACAGACAGACGGGGGACAGCGTTGGCAACAAGGTGGGGAAGGTGGGCGTGGGTGGCAGCTTGTCGACCACCTCCCGCCCCACCCCCAACACCTGATCTTTTTCTGAGTCTCCAGCCAGGTCAGGGCCTAGTTCAAGGCTGGACACACAGGAAGACGTCACTACATGTACCTTCCCTGGCTGGACACGAACTCATCCTGAGTGGGACCACGGAAAGAGCTCTCTGGGCTTGGTGCCAGGGTCCCTGCAGGCTATGTGGCCTCAGGAGCACCCAGGCCCTCTCTGGGCACTGGACCAGCTGGACCTGATGACTCAAGGGACCCTTCCAGCTCTGAGGGTCCCTGGGTCTGAGCCTCGGGGCTGGGCCGCCTTACCCTCCTCTTCAGGGGGCTGCTCAGCAGGCTCCCACTCGCTGGCCGCCTGCAGGACGTCCGGGGCCGGTGACTCCTGCAGGAAGAGCTCCCGTCGATGGCTGTGACTCTCCAGGTTGGGCCCGCGGGGCGGGAACTTCTTGCGTGAGAGCCGCAGGTACTTGTGGGCCTTGCGGGGCTTGCGGAGCGGGAAGGGCAGGGTGGGCACCAAGGGGCCCTTGTCCACCAGCTCGGGTGCCCCCGCCTTGACCACCCCCTCGGGGCTCCCGCTGCCGAGTGGGCGCGTCAGGGAGAAGCAGAGCTTCTCCTTGCCCTTGGCCTTGTGGGAGCTCCGCAGGTCCATGCTGTACAGCCGCTGCGGGGGCAAGCCAGGGCACGGCGGATCAGCCCTGCCCTCCCACCCACTGCCGCGCCTTTGCTCGTGCTGGCCCTCCCCCCCGGGGTCCTCTTCCCCATGTTTCAGGGCTCAGAGCCAGCCGGCATCCCGCCCCTCACCCCAGCCCAGAGCGCTCCCCCTGACCCACCCCAGCCCCGGGGCCTGGCCCAGCTCAGCCTTCCTCTTGGCCTCACAGCGCGGCCCCATCTCCCAGGGCCCTGTAAGTGGCTCAGGGATGGGGCCTCAGGGCACGTTCCTTTGGTCCATGGCAGAGGCACACAAGCGGTACAAAATGAAAACTGACCAACAAAAAACACACCTGCATTTATGAGGTAGATAAATTAAGGAGTTATTCTTCATTACAGGGAAGGAATCTTTGCTTCTAAAGAACCCCCCAAAGCTGAAACGGCCAGCTCGCTAGGGAAATGGTGTGAGGCACAGCGCTCTGAAGCTTCCTGGGACAAGTTAACCAGGAGTATACATGGCACCGGGGTGCCCATGTCACCCAGCCACAGGAAGGTCTGCCAGCAGCCTGCAGACACCCCTTGATCCCCCCAGGACTCTCCTGGGCTCTGAGCCGCAGGGTGGCCCTGTCTGGGTCCAGACGTCTGTTGCCCCGCCTCCTTCTTGCTTAAATGGGCTGGAGGGCACATTCTTCTGCCATTCAAAGACTGAAGTTTTATCATTTGTGCATTTGTCTTACTGACTTTGGGGGGAAATTTATACAAACCCAAGAAAGATCCTTGGTGCTAAGATGTTGGGGGGACCTGGATCACTCTGGGACAGTAGCTTCTCCTGCTACCTGTCACCAGAGGCCAAGAGCTCCCAGGAAGAGAGTGAGACCAGCAGATAGGACCTGTAGGTCAAACATCTCCAGTTGGGGGCAGAGATCACATGTGCAAGTTCCATTCCTCAGTCCCACCAGCTAATCCCCATCACTCAGCATGGGGTGCAGGTTGTCATGGTGATGGGAGGAGACTGTGAAGATACTGCAGTGCTAAGAGGGCTTACCCCATATGCAGCTTTATCAAAACCCACCCCTTCAGCCTGGCGCGCACACCATCACAGGCCTCCTAACTCTCATACGGTTCTGTCCTTCTCTACCTCACCGTGAGAGAATTACAGCTACTAACTAGCGGGTCCAGGAGCACCAGGACTCAGGTCTGGGTTTTAATCCAGCTGTGTGACTCTCGATGGAATGGACAGGAGGCTGGACATGGCTCACACTGCACGTGGACCAAGAAGCCTTATTTTTTGGCTTCAAATTCCCGGGTGGGCCTTATTAAATTAAGGACAGCAGGTATTCTTGTCATCCCGATTTTACAGATGAGAAAACTCAAGTTCAGAGATTTGCCTCAAATCACATAACTACATCACTTCAGACTCCATCCTCTTTTCAGTGCGAACCAGTGAAAGTAGCAAAGTGCCCCCAAGGCCTGGGTAACACGGGCTGCCAGTCTTGTGGCAGAGGGCTTCTCCTCACTCAAAATGACACATTCTAGGGAATTCTCTGGTGGCACAGTGGTTAAGAATCCGCCTGCCAATGCAGGAGACATGGGTTTGAGCCCTGGTCCGGGAAGATCCCACATCCCGCGGAGCAACTAAGCCCATGCACCACAACTACTGATCCTGCGCTCTAGAGCCCCCGAGCCACAGCTACTGAGCCCGTGTGCTGCAACTACTGAAGCCCGCGCACCTAGAGCCCATGCTCCGCAACAAGAGAAGCCACCGCCATGAGAAGCCCGTGCAACGCAACGAAGAGTAGCCCCGACTTGCCGCAACTAGAGAAAGCCTGCGTGCAGCAACCAACACCCAACGCAGCCAAAAACATAATAATAATAAAAAATAAATTTTAAAAAAAATTAAAAAATAATTTTAAAAATGACACATTTCTAGACCATTCCAAGGCTATGGTTCCAGAATTCTATGAATCTCCTTTTCTTGGATTCTAAAATTCCAGATTCCCGTTTCCTCAATTCTAAAGTTTATGCTTCTAAGATTCTCAAATACTACAATTTTGTATTTTGGGGACTCGGAGCATCAAGATTCTAAGCTTTCGAAATTCTAGGATCCCGTAAGCCATACACCCACCCTCCCTCCCTCCACAGTACCTTCCACCCACAGTGTCTTCCAGGGGCACGAGCCCCACATTCTGACTCCTCCCAACTCCTCCCTTTGAAACTTACCCACTAAGTGCCCCGCCCCACCCCACAGTGTCCTGGGTGGAGCCGAGGAGGGTTAGTGGTTCCGCAGAACTATCCAGTGCAAATGCACGGATGGGCAGGGGCTGGTGGGAGGAGCAAGGGGGCCCTGTGGGCGGGCACCAGAGCTGGTGGGGTTACCTGCAGCAGAAGCCGCTTGGGTTTCGGACCTCTCTTCCTATACCCCGATGCTCGGTCTCTCTCCTCCCTGGGGTGCAAAGCAGATGGCAGAACAAAAGGAAACACTGTTGACATTTAAGGGAAAGTAAGGCATCCGCTCCACCCAGCTCTCTGCTGTCTATGGGGGCGGGGGACACCCTCCACAGGCCACCCCCTAATCCTGGGGTAGGGCTCCTCACTTTAGACCATAACAATGGGGTCGTGTGTTCAACTCCCAGGGCTGCATCTTCCCACCTGACTAAAGGTGAGGGCACAGCGACTGGTCCCAATTGCTAGAGGTGGGACTCGGGGGACATCTCCAAAAATATGTGGGTCTTCACGGCCCCAGGGACATGCCAGACCTCTTCTCTACATGCACTGGGAACAGCCCCCAAAACAATGTAGTTCCAGTTTCCACTCTTAGGAGCCGTCTATTGAAACCTGTCAATTAAATTTGCCTTGAATGTCCCAGGGGGACTGATGAGAATGGCCACGAGTCCTTTCGCAAGCGAAGTTCTGCCCAGATCTCCCCCCCAGCCTGGCATCTCCACGAACCTGGTGGGGAGGACAGGCTCCCATTTGTCTGTATCGTCTGGTTGGGGAAGGGGAGAAAAACTAGCCTGCATTCAGTCCCCAGTAGATGCCAGACTCTCTGCCGGATGCCTTCCTCCCATCACAAACACACAAGGCACAACCTGAGGACGCAGACAAAGCCACACACAACACACCAGACAACACGCCAGAGACCCCAACAATGTGCTGGAAGTGATGGGACAATTCAAAGTAGTTTCATTCTGTTTCACTTCATTCCACTCATGCCGTCTGTGGCCTTGGTCCAGTCTCTCAGTCTGAGCCAAGCTAAGCCAGTGCATCCGTGGAGCCTGTTTCCACTGTTGGTCCCTCCTCGAGGCAGTGGATGCCACCCCCTTCCAGACATCAGACTCCAGGGTCGCTGCGGGGAGGGCTCTCCCTACCTCCCCACGGAGTCAGCTTCAGCAGGTCTGCCGTGGGGCCCTAGAACCAGCACTCGAGAGAAGCACCCATGGCATGGGATACCCACACCAAGACAGGCCTCCCAAGCCCTGGAGGGTGAGAACCTTAACTCAGAGTCCGGTGCTGGGCGCCAGGACACCCTGTTCCAGGCTCAGCTCTACCTGACCCACAGGAGACCTTGGCTGGTCACTTTCCCTCTCTGGCCCTCAGTTTTCTAGTCTGGAGAAAGAGCTTCCCTTCTCAGCTGGTCCCCGGGGCTCCTGGGAGGAGCGAGAGAGGTGACCGGCATTTCTCAAAATGGGGGGTAGAAAGACCAAAATAATAAAGAGGAAGAGAGAGGGAAGAAAAAAGAAAAGAGGAAGAGAAGGAGGAAGTAGAGAGAGGAGAAAAGGAAAGGGCCTTGAGGGGAAAGAATAAGAATAATATGTCTTTATTATATTTGTATAAGTGTTATTTATTATTATTTTTATTATTATGTCCTGCACACTTTGTACAAGGCACTGCTCTCAATGCTTTAACCCTCACAGCCACCCTATGAGTGAGGCACAGTTTCTATCCTCATTTCATAGCTAAAACACAGAGGTTAAGTCATTTGCCCGATGCCACAATTCTGACAACTTCTGCCACTAGTGAAGATGCTGAGCTCTGGGCTCCAGGCCTGGCGAGATCAGGCCTGGGGGCCCAGTCAGGGCCAGGGGGGCAGGCCTGCAGCCCAGGCCACATGACCTGGCTTCCCATCTGTAGCACCCCTGCTCCTGCCCTGCAACCGTGGGACGGGGGGCGGGGGGCTTCCATTCTGTCCAGTCCTTACCTACCCAGGGCCCATCAGTGTCCAGGGCTGTGGGGATCGTGGTCCCACAAGCCCTCAGTGCCCCATTGGCCCCTCCCGGGGTACAGGGACTCCCTGTTAGAGCCCCCTGGCCCGACTCCTTCTGAGTCTCTTAAAAACCCTGCAAAGCAGGTGTTAAAATGGTCGTCACCCCGCTTCCATCTCCTTCTCACCAAGACCCAGAGAGAAAGAGGAAGTCCAATCACACGGTGGGTCTGTAGAAATCCCCAAGCTCCTCATTTGCTCCTTAACTACGGACTTTTCTGACTCATTGAAAGCAACATCCGAATCCTCTATCAGGACTCAAGGGGCCCTCCCTGAGCTGCACGCCCACTCCTTCAGCTGCCCCTGCCCCTGCCTCTCCCCCAGACGCCCCACCCCTGCCCAGCTCACACCACTCCAGCTGGCCACACTCAGAGCCACGCTTGCCTCCATGCAGGTCCTCAGCCCAGGGCCTCTGCGTCACATTCTTGGGTGCTCTTCACCTGGATGGTCTTCTCTAAAATACCTACTGGGGTCCTTCCCTCACTTAGCTCAGGTCTCTGGTCAAATGCCACCACCTAACCATCCCACTGAAAGCAGCGGCCCCATCCCGACCCTGTCTGTGCAGCAGTCAGCACGTCGGCATCTATACATTTACTGGTGTACTTTTCACTGCAGGTCTCCACACTGGAATGTAAGCCCCACAAGGGCAGGGACATTTGTTGGTTTTGTTCCTTGCTGTGCCCCAGTCCCTGGAACAGTGCCTGGCACACAGTAGGATCTCAATAAAGATTTGTTGAACAAATGAAAGAATGAACTAGCTGACCCCTAATTACCATCAGGAAGACATTTGCCCGTGTGTGCCCACACCTAATGGTCTGCGGAGTGCTTTCACACACCCTTCCTCCCCATGAGAGTCCTTGAGGTCAGCACTGTTCTCCCCATTTCACAGACAGAGAAGCTGAGGCTCAGAGAGGAAAAAGGTCCTGTGCAGCACCTCACAGCTGGTGAGTGGAAGAGCCAGGATTTGATCCAGGCCTCTGACACCTGTCCAATGCTCTCCTTACCACAATCCAGGACATTCCACAGGGCTCTCTGTGTCACAACCCTTTTGGATCAAGGCCCCACCAGCACTCGGGAACCAGAAAGAAGCTGTGGGACAGGAACACTGTGATTTTTAAAGGAAAGAGCAGTGGGAACGTTTCCTTTGAATCAGCAGCGGGAGACCTCCTATGGGAGAAGCAGTCAGCAGGGGGCGAGGAGGGGCTGAGGAACGGCATCACTGGGGCTCAGGAGCCCCACCCAGGTTAAGTCCTACTTGGGCTGCCTCCCGGCTGCGAGGGCCCTGGACAAGCCCCTAAGCTCTTCAGCGCCTCGGTCTCCTCACCTGTCACATGAGACCCTCATCCCTGTCTCAGGCAGTTACTAAAAGGAACCAAATAAAAATGATTTTATAAAACGGTCCCGCACTGTACAGGGTCGATGGGTTGGGGAGAGGCAGAAAGACTGGGCAGCCTGCTGGCAGGGAGACCGGTAACGCTGGGGCTCATGCAGCAGAAGGGAATGGCTAGGTTATGCTCAAAAGGCCCTCCCACCAGGAGAAACAACATTTTTGGCAGAAGCTCCCCGCTAAGGTGTGCCGTCACGGCCCATCGGACGAGCTGCCAATCACTAGGCAACCCTTGGAAGAGCACTTGCAGCAGAGCACTGGCAGACACGGCAGTCTGAGACCTGGAGGCAGCTTTGCCCACGGCCTCCCAGCTAGGAGGCAGCCAAGCAGGAGGGACCGGAACCCAGCTGTCCTGGCTCCAAAGCCACACTTCCTCCCCTGGCCTTTCTTGAGAGCTTCATCAAACTTGGTGAGAGGATCTGTAGGGGGAACCTCCCTCTGGCCCGTCACTGGGCATGACTAATACTGCTGCCCCTCGCACGCATGGCATCTCTACGCCCATTTTCACCTCTTCACGGCAATTGAAATCCCTGTCTTCTGGGGAAATCGGGGCAGGTGCTGTTGGGGGGGCCTACAACAGCAGAGAGACAGAGGCCTGGGGCTGTTAGCGGAGCGGCTGACATCACCCAGCAGCCGGAAAGGGACAGGGCCCTCGGCTGCCCTGGGACCTGGTGCCCAGCACCTTCCCCCAGCTGTGGACGAGACCCGGCAGTCCCTGCCAGACCCCTGCCCCCAGTGACCACTGTTCGGAGCCAAGCCAGCAGCAGCTCCCTATGAAACCTCAGAGCCTGCCTTCCACCCAGCCCCCTGGCAGGCTGAGCCCCTTACTTCTCCTCATAGGCCATGACCAGGCGGGGGTCCAGGATGTGCTCCTCCGGTTCCCACGTGCTGTACCTGGGGAGAGAGACAAGGGGTCAGAGCTGACCTGCCCCTCACCCCGCCACCCCCCATTCAGAGGCCGCAGCCGCTCCACCAGGGCCCACTTGCCTGCAGGACTTTGCCCCTTCCTGATCCAGTGTAACTGTCGCCTAATCCCATGAACTGTCCCTGGCTACCAGAGTAGGTTGGAGGCCTCCTGGGGGCTTGCATGACACCAGAACTCCCCTCATTCTGAGCGCTGATCACACCACTCTATAAGTGATCGCGTCCAACTCCGGACTAGATCCCCATGTTCACTTCAGGTGAAGAGGGCAGGTCCTATATGTCCCTGGATTCCCTTCCTATGAGAGTCAAGAGCATGTGCTGAAGAGCTGCGGCTCTGGAGCCAGACTGCCTGGGCTCAAACCCCAGCTCTGCCCTGGCTAGCTGTACAACTTTAAACAATTTATTCAGTGTCTCTATGCTGATTTCCCCATCTGTAAAGGTCTCTTGTGCTGATTAAACATGTTGACGTATCTAAGTGTTTAGAGCAGCGCCTGGTGCACAGGAAGTGCTCTGTGCTTATTACTGTCACCATCCCTAGCCCCCCTGATGCCCCAGCCCCAGTGGGCCCTCTGCCCAGGCTGAGCTGCTCCCTCCCCATCCTTGGAACACATCTGCACCATCAAGGCCAGGTCTGAAGTTCCCTTCTCAGGTGGGGCCTGGCACACAGCAGGAACTTGGTAAATGTTCAGTGACTGAATGGTACAGTGTCCTACAGCAGGCCCCTAGGTCTTTCCACGAGGGACTTTCCACCACTCCCAGGCCAGGCAGCATTCCCTGCTGGGACAGACCTGGGCATTTCCAGAGCTCGGCCATCCTCCTTCCACCTGCACGATTATTTACTTAGTATCTGCCTTTAAATTAGCTCACTTGGGAATTCCCTGGTGGTGCAGTGGTTAAGAATCTGCCTGCTAATGCAGGGGACATGGGTTCGAGCCTTGGTCCGGGAAGATCCCACATGCTGCTCAGCAACTAAGCCCGTGCGCCACAACTATTGGGCCTGTGCTCTAGAGCCCGCGAGCCACAACTACTGAGCCCAAGTGCCACAACTACTGAAGCCCACGCGCCTACAGCCCATGCTCCGCAACAAGAGAAGCCACCGCAATGAGAAGCCACCGCAATGAGAAGCCCGCGCACCGCAACGAAGAGCAGCCCCTGCTCGCCACAACTAGAGAAAGCCTGCACGCAGCAATGAAGACCCAATGCAGCCATAAATAAATAAATAAATAAATTTATGTATTAAAAAAATTAGCTTGCTTTTTTAAAACATTTTATTTTAAAAGCAAACTCTTAGGCTTCCCTGGTGGCGCAGTGGTTGAGAGTCCGCCTGCTGATGCAGGGGACGCGGGTTCGTGACCCGGTTCGGGAACGCGCCGTGGAGCGGCTGGGCCCGTGAGCCATGGCCGCTGAGCCTGTGCGTCCGGAGCCTGTGCTCCGCAACAGGAGAGGCCACAAAAGTGAGAGGCCCGCGTACCACAAAAAAAAAACAAAAAAAAAAAAGCAAACTCTTTATGACTTCCATAAGTGGAAAAACCAGTTTGACTCATCATAAACAGATGCTAATACATAAAAATTTTTAATATAAAAACATATATATGGGGATTCCCTGGTGGTGCAGTGGTTAAGAATCCATCTGCCAATGCAGGGGACACGGGTTCGAGTCCTGGCCTGGGAAGATCCCACATGCCACGGAGCAACTAAGCCCATGCGCCAGAACTACTGAGCCTGCGCTCTTGAGCCGCAACTACTGAGCCCATGTGCCACAACTACTGAAGCCTGCGTGCCTAGAGCCTGCGCTCTGCAACAAGAGAAGCCACCACAATGAGAAGCCCATGCACCGCAATGAAGAGTAGCCCCCGCTTGCTGCAACTAGAGAAAGTCTGCGCCCAGCAACAAAAACCCAACACAGCCAAAAATAAATAAATTTATTTTAAAAAAAAAGAAAGAAGATACCATTTTTAATGTTTTGCTTCATTATTTTTAACCCCTTGGGTTTCTACATTATGCCATGTACTTACAGATATATATATATATGTATGGGTGTATATATATGCATGCACACAAATACACATATAAAAATACGTATATATGTATATGTATGTACATGGGTGTATATAAACAAAACCAAAGCAATAGACTGTGATTCTAGCCAAGACTGCACCCAGGACTGCTGGATAAGAAGGGAGGTGAGGGAATTTCCTGGTGGTCCAGTGGTTAGGACGCCGAGTTTTCACTGCCAAGGGCCTGGGTTCAATTCCTGGCTGGGGAACTAAGATTCCACAAGCCACGTGGCACAGCCAAAAAATAAATAAATAAAAGAGGGAGGTGAGTAGGTATTAGGGAGGTATTGCGAGGCAGAGAGAGGCCAGGCAGAGCCCCTGCCCCTGCTGCCTTCTGCCAGCCAGGTTTAAACCTTCATCTCCAACCATCCTGGTTACTGTGAAACCTAGAAGTAGTCCAGTCAATATTTACACAACAAGCTGCCCAAGGACAGAACCCTTCTTTCCTTTCTTTCACTGACACTTCTGCACACTTACTTCGTGTCGGGCCCCATGGACTCAGCAGTGAAGGTCCGTGCCCTGAGTGCCACACGCCCAGCCTGAGCAGGCACCATCACAGCCCTTCCCTTTGCACGTGCTGTGCTCTCCTCCTGGAGGGCCCCTTTCCTACAACTACTCCTCATCCTTTAAGAGTCAGGTCCTTGTAGCTTTTCCTGACATCCTCTCCTAGCTGTCCTACTCCCAGCAGAATGAACCCTCCCCTCAGCTGCTCTCCAGGGCTCTACTATCGCATTTGGCACCTGCCATCCTTATTGGTGAATCATCCTTATTGGCTAATCAAGCTGGTGTCCTGGCTGGCAGGTTGTAACGCCTCGCCAGAGTGCCCAACCCAGCCCCCAGCCCCCAGGTGTTCTGGGAATGGCTGCAGAAGCCACTGAAGAGTTTTGCTCACCCTGGAGAAACGCTGAAAGTGAAACTGAGATTTTTTTTTTTTATAGTTTGGGTAAAGCCCAAACTGAAAGCAACCAGAAGCTGGCAGAGACTTCAAACCTTCCTCCCCTCCCCCAAAGGTTGAATTTCCTCGACTGTAACTAGTAAGAAGAGAGGGGGAATTTTGTGTTCCTCCAGTGTCCTCTGCCTGGCCCTCCCTTTTTCTCTAGCTGTGGAAGTTGCTCTTCAGTGCTCTAGTCCTCTCTGCCCTGCCCACTTCCCCACTGCCCTGCCCACTTTTTGTTGATGTAGCTGCTCTGTGGTTCCTGGCAAGTCCCTAACCTTCTCTGTCGTTCAGTTTCCTCATCTTAAGGATCACCACCACCACGACCATAACAGCAAGGTGCCAAAGCAGACTACTGCAGGGACGCATCCATTCCTTGTAACACCCTTATGAGGTAGGTTACAGATGTTACAAATGAAGAAACTGGGGCAGAGAGGTTAAGCATCTTGCCAAGATCACCGAGCCAGGAAGTGGCCAATCTGTGGTCAGAACTCAGTTGAATCTTGGCCACCCTCTCCCTTTGGATCTCTCACATGTCTAGTTAAATGGCCCCCCACCGGGCTGTAACGTCCATAGGAAAGGGGCACAGTCTGATTGGCCACGTCTTCAGTGTCTGACCCGGGGCTTAGCACACAGCGGGTGCACAGAAAGGGACAGACTTGGCAGCTGGAGGCCTGGCCCCGTTCGGTGCTGCGGAAAGGCGGGCGGCGGGGAGGTGGGGGGTTGCACCGGCGCCTCACCCTCTCGGACACCCCGGCCCTCCTAAACAGGAGGCCATCAGCGGCCCTCCGCAGTGTGGGGAGCCAGAGACCACAGCGAGGGCAAACACGCTTTGCGAACAGCCGGGCACAGGCAAGACAGGAGGGCGCGGCCGGCGAGGCCCGCGGCCTGAGACTTCGGGGTCTGGGTCTCCGGGCCGCCGGCTGGGCGGGAACCCAGAGTGGCGGACAGAAGGCTCCATCCACATCGCAGCGCCGTGCGCCCCGCCCCCCGGAGTCGGGCAGCCGCGCGTGCACACGCACGCACGCAGCGCGGGGGCGTGCGCGCCAGATTACCCG